GTGTAAAAATGTTAATAAACTGTTGACAAAGAGATATGTCTCGCCTTGTTGTAATTTTTATAGTATAATGCAAATATTGAACCCAAATGGCAATATTTATTTAAACATGTAAACTATGCAAAACATTCAAAGTCAATAAACCTTGAGTTATGGTGCAGGACCAAATAACCCAATTGAAGTGTGAAATGCCAATACTTATAACACTACATACCAAATAACATTGACTACTATAAGTAGTTCATTTTACAATAACCTAAACACAGACTTTAATTTGTAAACAATGTGAAAGTTTCAAAGTCAATGAACCATAAAGAGGGGGTGGGGCCATATACTCATCATAGAACAGACTTGCAAATGCTAATAAAACTGCATACCAAATATCACTGACTTAACATTAGCGGTTCCTCTAAAACTATGCAAAACATTCAAAGTCAATAGACCATGACTGAGGTGGCGGATCCAAGTAATTTCCATGGAAATTAGATGTGCCTATGCTTATGCTTCTACATACTAAATATCATTGACCTACCACCTATTACTAGTGGTTCTTTTTAACTGACCTAATCACAAACTAGTATTTTATGTAAGCAAAATGTCAAGGTCGATAGACAATTACTGAGGCGGCAAGGCCACATTATCCCAATAGAAATAAATGTGCCAATGCTACTTAAACTACATACAAAATATCATTGACCGACCACTAGTGGTTCCCCATAAACTGACATAATTATAAACAACAAATGTATTAGTAATACATTGTTGACACCGCCGCTGTCGGACACAGTATACCTTAGTCTCGCTTTTTGACCCCATCAAGGCGAGACAAAAATTAAATAAGAATGTGTTAAACATGTTAAAGGACTACTGGAACTCGAGCAACACATTTCACTATATTGATAATTTGTTTAGACAGTAAAAACCCGACACTTCAATAAATCGCTGTTTTCCACATTTGATCATACATGAAAATTGGTTAATAAAAACCTGGACATATTATTCTGACCTTATATATCAGTCTTTGCTATTATTCCTCAATGTCGCATGTTTTGCAGAGAAGCGCTAAATCTTTGGTTTGACCCAGTCAAGGATTTAACAAAGGACCTCCGCAATCTACGGGGGAAGTCAAAAGAATACTAGCAAAAGGCTATATATATGTAATAATTTAATAATAAGATCTGTTTTGTTACATCTTGTGATCCGTTTATTTGGCAATCGCCAATGGCAGTCAGCAGGGTTTAAGAACATCAGTTGTTCGACCTGCTAGTCAAATGCGTTTTGTTAAAATATACTTTTTCACTCATTTGGTCTTTTGGAAAATGTTGTTTGTGCTGTATTTAGACCCCTCTACCAAAAAATTTGTTTTGCATGCACACGTATAAAAATTGCGGTTTTTATCCAACGCAACCATAGGTTTGAACGTTGTTTTCAATTTAGACTTGTTTATATTTTTTCGTTTGGGCTTGTATTATATTTGCCTTCGGGTTTATATGATCCGTTCATCCTATTTTGACTCTTTCAAAATTCAAGAGTCTATCCTAAATTGAGGTAAATTATATGACCTTCCAAATACCGTTTCGATTCCTAACATCACTGAAGAGACATTAATTGTCGAAATCCGGATATGGTGTACAAATTTTTGCACCTCATGTTTGCGGTATACCATCATTTCCGCAAGTTTATTGTTTTCTGTTTGGTAATAATTTAATAATAAGATCTGTTTTGTTACATCTTGTGATCCGTTTATTTGGCAATCGCCAATGGCAGTCAGCAGGGTTTAAGAACATCAGTTGTTCGACCTGCTCGTCAAATGCGTTTTGTTAAAATATACTTTTTCACTCATTTGGTCTTTTGGAAAATGTTGTTTGTGCTGTATTTAGACCCCTCTACCAAGAAATTTGTTTTGCATGCACACGTATAAAAATTGCGGTTTTTATCCAACGCAACCATAGGTTTGAACGTTGTTTTCAATTTAGACTTGTATATAAATATATATATATATATATATATATATATATATATATATAAATAAACAAAATATATATTTTACTTAATTGGTTCAGGAAAAGTTTGTAGATTCAAAACTCCGCCCAGTACACAAGTCAAATTAGTCGGTGGTATAGGCAAACTTTAACATATGTCTACTTTTTTTACCTGTGCTTTTTTAAAAGAAAAGCTTATAAAGAAAGTTCTTGAATTCAAAAATGAAAGTTGAGTAGGTAATTGCTGCAAAAAATTTGAACAGTCTGGTTGGTTGACAAGTCTGCCGTGAAGGGTGTAATGAAGATATCAGTAAACTATGAAATACATTTTCAAGAATTATAAATTAAACTACAATGATGTGTTAAAAATAAAGATTTGAATTTAAAAAAAAAGGAATTGAGCTTTAGTTTTAACAGAATCAGCAACACAGGGATATTTAGGAGTCAATCAGACATTATCTGTTTCGATAACGCCAAATGAAAACGCATCTGGTAGTCAAAGACAAAGAAGGTTTGATTTAATTTTTTGAAATTGTCAAATTTTTTCATTACAGGTAGCCAAGTGTTTAGATAATTTTCCTAAAAACAAACCGTTTATCTTCAAATGATCACATTTTACCGTTATTCACCCCAAATACCTCTTCATAAAGGGACTATCCAAATAGGCATTTGTTTCCATTTTCCACTTTGTCATCTAACTAAATAACTCAAAGTTTTGTTTTACTATTTTGAACACAACAATTCCATCGAACTTGAAATAACAAATATCACAGATACAGTTCTGTCTGATTCATATCTTTATATTGACAATTAGAGTCGGCTACGAAATTTTTTTTACACCAGACATATACAGATATCATAAGTTAATAGGAATGTTTACTAAATTTAATCATAGATATAAATTGATTATTAAAATAAGGTCCCACTTACAGAACTTAAAAAAGTGGAATTACACACCAAGTGTTTTACATCATTACTTTGTTTAAAGCAAACACGTTAGGATATGTCTTTTGTTGTTTTCATTATGTCTTAAACGACATCGATATTGCGTTCAGTCACCGCAGGATTTGCTTGAAACGGAATTGTTTATTGTGATGGGCCTGGACTTTGGTGTTGGGTTTGTTTATACTTATTATACCAATATTACAGAGTTAAGTGCTTTTTTCCTGATGTTTACTACCGTTATTTGATGTAAATTGTGTAATTCACCTAGTGAGAAAAATCTTTTAATTGTCACCAAATTAAAATAAAAATTAACATACAGTTACAATTATTGTAGAAATGATGACCTCATGATGGTTTTAGTCGTAAGTGTACCAGAGACAATATACAAAAATTGTTAATGTATGTGACCAATTGATGTACTATCTTTGCATGACTTAACTAAAGTAACAGGACCAGCTTCATATTTCATATAGAAAAAAATCGTAAAACTTTGAAATGATTGTTTTCATATGGCTGGTATGTCGTCAATTCAAATTCGAATTTAAAAAAAAAGTAAGGATTTATGAAAAATCGTGCTTCGTTTATATGCAAATACCCAGACGTTGCTAAAGACATGTCTTTCCTCCATGACAATATGTTGTTGTTCACAGATAAAAACACGATAATATTGTTGTTGTCTGTTAATCACATTACATAAACTGCTTGATAACAGAATTGGTTTTGACAATTCACTTGAACACTCAACATATATGTCCAAGACACGTACAAGTTTATTGTTGGTTGCTTAATGCTACTTTCATCACTATTGGTGACCAGTTGTTTTTAGTAGGGGAAGCAGAAAGGCTCGGAAAGAATAACAAAGCTTCCGAAAAGAAAATTGGCAACCCTAGTGAATTACAATTGGAGTCGAACACAACCGCCACACGAAGGTTTCGAATTCACAAATTCAGTGTTGACATATCAGTGATACAGAAGATAAACTGCATGGACCTCTAGGCCAACGAGGACCGTATACTTAGAAAAAAATGCTGAAGAATAACCGGACTGTTTTCTTTCCTTTGAAAGTTCAGCCAGATACGATGAACTGCGTTGTATTGGAATCTTTTTATACAAATACTTATAATATTTTATATAGATGAAAATGGCCGCTTTACTTGTAATCATAACTGCATAGATATTGATGAATCTATTATTATTTGCATTACTTTATTGTTTATGATTTCATCATAAGTGAACACTTAGTTTTAAAAGTTTAAGTAGCTAATGGTTATTCTATGAACACAGCACACCTTATATGTTTCATCATTTGTTTTTTTCAATTTGTTTGGAGTTGGTCTGATTTCCCTCAGTGTTCGGTTGTAGCTTCGAATTGTTTCTTCCATTTTCGAGAATTAACTGCAAGAACTCTTGTGTTGATGCTTCGCTTTGTGTTATTGTTTTTATACTAGTTGATTTTTCTTTGTGCCTCGTACCGATCTATTGTCATTATGAGTCAAGCATTTTCAACTGATTTTTACGATCTGTTCTGATGTTGTGCTGTTCACTGTCGCACGTTAGAGGAGGGATTAGCGCGCACAAACATGTTCAACCCCGACACAAATCAGGAGCCTGCAATTCAGTACGTGTTTTGCTTAATGTCTGTCACATTTTATTTTTCGTAATTGGGTTGTTATAAATTAGTTCGTTGTTTATCTCGTTTAAACAGTTTTACATGTTTCATGTTGGGACATTTTATGAATGACTATACTGTATATGTTTTCTCATTGAAAACCTAACGGTGACCTATACTTTTTTTTATATATTCGTCATTTGTGGATAGTTGTCTCATTTGCAATCATACCATATCACCTTATTTCGAAATTCATTGTTGGAAAATTAGATTGATACATATTGTGTGTTATTAAAACTTTTATAAAGTATGGAAAATATTACATGTATATGCTGGTAATGGTGTATGGCTAAGTGTGTATGGTGTGATTGTGCATAGAGTAATAGTAGGTTTACACCAAGAAAAGACTGTGATGCCTCTGTTGTTTTCGTCGCATGCAAATTATAAATATCTTGTACAAGATAATATTTAGTTTGATGTTATTAAGAATGTGTTTTCTGCTACTTCTTTCTTGTGTACTGAATTTAAGGTCAATGGTCTGGTTTTATATTTGGAAAACTCTCACAATTCTCCAATGTCTCTCGGATAAGGTTTCCTTTCTTTCCAATTCTAGTAAAGGCGTTCTGGAGATCTCTAATGGTATTGCCAATTTCTCTTTCTTTCCATTGGTATAACATGCTTTTACTAATATCTCGAAGAACGTTTGGGCTGTCATATTCGATATATTCGAGTTGTTCTATATCAAGTCCAAGTTCTAGACCTAGTTCCATCCACTTCTTACCAATGCGCAAAGCCAATTTGTCTAGCATCTCATCACTAGGAGGTAGATTCAAAATATTATCAGGTAAATCTAAAAAATTTCAAAATAAAACGGGATGCAAAGTTATATTACAGTTCATACTGTTTTGATGGTGACAAAAAAATACCAAAAAGGAAATATCATCATACACGTTATTATTATTATTCCTACAACATGTTTGCTAAAATACAATTGCATGCATAGCGAGTCGTTGTCTAAAAGACATACAACACCTCGTCACGCAGATAGAAAAATACTTATAGATTCAATGTGTTTTTACATTAAAAAGTATTTTACTATTTTCTTATGCTTTCAGATCAAGTTATTGTTTTGATTCAGAGTGAGTTTAAATTTGGTAATTCAATTACTTGCATTACTTGCATTTCGAGATATTGCGTGTTTCATTATTGATAACTTAACTCTTAATGTCAATTATGTCTTGCATAATCAAGACGAGAAACTATTAACAATAAATACAAGAGGTGCCTACATATAGAGTATATATTTTCCAGTTGATACGATATTCCAGAGCTTGCATTTCCTATCTTACAAGGAAGCTATTATCAGATGACGACTGATATATATTCCAATTGTCTTAACAGCAATCCCTTTCTTATTACCAAGAGTTTTAAGTGATGAACTTGAAATCACCCCTTAAAATGTTTTGCGGATACCCTCTCGAGTTGATTGATTGTTATAAAATGTTTGTTTCTCAGATATCGACTAAAATATGTTCTAATTGTCGTAATCACAATCATGTTCTTTTACTATTCTTCGACTGTTACCTACCGAATTAGACTTATCACCGGATTCATACCAACACAACGGGTGGCACATTTAGTGCAGGATCTGTTTACCCTTCCGTAGCATCTGAGATAACCCTCGGTTTTTGATGGGCAAGGGTATTCTTCATGTTATTGCGTAGTCTCTTATTGCAATAGTTTGTTTTCGACGTACAGGTATGATTTTTAATTTAAACTTGGGGTTTATAATGTGACGGAAAAGGGGATCTCTCTCAATGCGAGATTGTGGATTTGATGTCACATTTTTGACCGGAAGTATCTGCGAATGTATACATAACACTTAAAACAGACTCCGCGATTTGTCAAAGGCTTACTGTCGATCTGACGAAATCCAAATTCAACATGATTTCCCTAATCAAAGTAATTTTTGATCAACTTTTATGAATCTAGTCTTTACATATTTTATTATCTACTGACCTGTTGACGATATTTCTTGCCGAAGTATCTGAAAGAGAAATATCAGAAATAAGAAATATTTACAACATGTCCGAAACATTATAGCAGAAAATATCATAGTCAATAGAGAAAAAAAAAGATAAACAATAGTCCACAAAACCAAGCAAAGCAAGTTAAAATTCGCTATACGGATTAAACGAAAACATAAAACTAATGAACCTTACAATATTCTGACACTGTAGAACGATATAAAATGGATTTGAACGAGCTTTCGAAACAGGTAGGAAATCCAGGGTCGGCGATATTTTCAGGTTACGTAGAGAGTAAAAAATGTTTGTATCCATCTTGTATTTTTCTAACAATTTATCATGTATGCTTACGTGTATAGTTGTTTTACTTCGCAACCGTTAACTTTGTGTTTGAATATAATCAACATTCAATAAACGAAGACCAGGAAGTGAACCCCAAATTGAACTGTGGCGTAACAAGTTATTTAAATGTTACAGAAACAGGATACTAGGAAAAAAAGTACCCCAACAATATTTTAATGTTGATGTATCTTATCACTGTAATGTATATTTTTTCCATGATGAACCGAATGAACAATGATGTTTATTTTTTTCTATATATATGAAGACCCTCAGCCGCTAGCTGAGCATCATTCCAAATAAAATCATGAACAATATTTAAAAAATATAATAATAATTATTTAGTTTTTTATTCTTTCTCGAGTATTCCTATAGTTTCAAACGAGCGGTGTACAATGTTCTGAATTTCTTCATAGTGGTGATTTGAAAACTAAATAACAATGGTGTCAAAACACAATTTAATTATTAACAGAACTACAGTTGGGTGCAGACCAAGCATTACATGTAAACGGGCGGAAAAAGTTAACGCGGCGTTTACTCGCGTGCACTTCAAGTAAACGCCGCGTTAACTGTGCGTTAACTCGGAAATTTCAGTAGACATAAAAAGTAAACGGCCGTTTACTTTCGCGTTTACCTTCGCGTTAACGCAAAATCGGCGCGTCTTCTAATTTTGTAAAGAGTAAACGGGCGTTTACTTTCGCGTTTATTTCCGCGTTAACGTGAAAAAGGCGCGTCTTCTAATTTCGTCAAAAGTAAACGCACGTTTACTATTTGTAGTAAACGCGCGTTAACGCAAATTGTCATCGTATCCTGGATACACTGACCTTAAATATCAAATGATAAAGTACATCAAAATTAAATGACCAACTGTTCATTTTCGATTGACATTAACAGTTAATTAATAATGTAATAACACCTCTTAAATTAATTGAAAATTAATCATAGTAAATTTCTTTTTTCTGCACAAACAAACAGTTCAAGCATGTCCTTCTTTTATTCAAATAATTAAATCATCACCAAAATCCAGCATTTTTCACATCTCAGACTGTCCAACTCAGGATGACTCGTTTAACAAAATTAATTGACCTCATTAACCAAAAATGACCATATCTGCACTTCATCAAGTAAATATATATAGCCGCACAGTAATTCAGTTATATTTTTAGGTCAGGAGGGACTGTATAATACAAATGACAGCAATATTGGAAAACAATGACTAAAAAATTTGGTTCGCATCAATTTATAGTGCCAGCATGTCCTCTTTTTATTAAAAATATTGAATCGTATACAAATATCAGTAGTTTTCATACCTCAGACTGACTCGTATAAACAAAATTATTTTTCCGCATCAACCAAAACTGACCTAATTTGCTCTTTTTTATGTAAATCTTATAGTTGCATACCAAATCAGTAATATTTTTATATCAGTATGGATTGTATAATACAAATGACAGCAATATTGGAAAACAATAACTAAAAAATTTGGTTCGCATCAATTTATAGTGCCAGCATGTCCTCTTTTTATTCAAAATATCTAATCGTAAACAAATATCTGTAGTTTTTATACCTCAGGCTGACTCGTATAACAAAATTATTTGTCTGCATCTACCAAAACTGACCATATTTGCACTTTATCAAGTCAATCTGTATAGCTGCACAGTAATTCAGTTATATTTTTAGGTCAGGAGGGACTGTATAATACAAATTACAGAAATATTGGACCATAATGACTAAAAAATTTGGTTCGCATCAATTGAGAGTGCCAAAATGTCCTGTTTTTATTCAAAATATTGAATCGTAAACAAATATCAGTAGTTTTCATACCTCAGACTGACTCGTATAACAAAATTACTTGTCCGCATCAACCAAAACTGACCTAATTTGCTCTTTCTTATGTAAATCTTATAGTTGCATAGTAAATCAGTTATATTTTTATGTAAGGATGGATTGTACAAAACAAATGATAGCAATATTGGACAACAATGACTACAAAATTTTGTTCGCATGTATTGAGAAAGCCAAAATGTCCTGTTTTTATTCAAATATTGAATCGTTAACAAATATCAGTAGTTTTCATACCTCAGACTGACTCGTATAACAAAATTACTTGTCTGCATCAACCAAAACTGACCTAATTTGCTCTTTTTTATGTTAATCTTATAGTTGCATAGTAAGTCAGTTATATTTTTATGTAAGGATGGATTGTATAAAACAAATGATAGCAATATTGGACCACAATGACTACAAAATTTTGTTCACATCAATTGAGAAAGCCAAAATGTCTTGTTTTTATTCAAAATATTGAATCGTAAACAAATATCAGTAGTTTTCATACCTCAGACTGACTCGTATAACAAATTTTTTTTCCGCATCAACCAAAACTGACCTAATTTGCTCTTTTTTATGTAAATCTTATAGTCGCATTCTAAATCAGTAATTTTTTTATATCAGTATGGATTGTATAATGCAAATGACAGCAATATTGGAAAACAATAACTAAAAAATTTGGTTTGCATCAATTTATAGTGCCAGCATGTCCTCTTTTTATTCAAAATATCTAATCGTAAACAAATATCAGTATTTTTTATACCTCAGACTGACTCTTATAACAAAATCATTTGTCTGCATCAACCAAAACTGACCATATTTGCACTTTATAAAGTCAATCTATATAGCTACACAGTAATTCAGTTATATTTTAGGTCAGGAGGGACTGTATAATACAAATTACAGAAGTATTTGACCACAATGACTAAAAAATTTGGTTCGCATCAATTTATAGTGCCAGCATGTCCTCTTTTTATTCAAAATATCTAATCGTGAACAAATATCAGTAGTTTTTATACCTCAGACTTGACTCGTATAACAAAATTATTTGTCTGCATCAACCAAAACTGACCTAATTTGCTCTTTTGTATGTAAATCTTATAATCACATAGTAAATCAGATATATTTTTATGTAAGGATGGATTGTATAAAACAAATGATAGCAATATTGGACCACAATGACTACAAAATTTTGTTCGCATCAATTGAGAGTGCCAAAATGTCCTGTTTTTATTCAAAATATTGAATCGTAAACAAATATCAGTAGTTTTCATACCTCAGACTGACTCGTATAACAAAATTACTTGTCCGCATTAACCAAAACTGACCTAATTTGCTCTTTTTTATGTAAATCTTATAGTTGCATAGTAAATCATTTATGTTTTTATGTAAGGATGGATTGTACAAAACAAATGATAGCAATATTGGACCACAATGACTACAAAATTTTGTTTGCATCAATTGAGAAAGCCAAAATGTCCTGTTTTTATTCAAAATATTGAATCGTAAACAAATATCAGTACTTATCATACCTCAGACTGACTCGTATAACAAAATTACTTGTCCGCATCAACCAAAACTGACCTAATTTGCTCTTTTTTTTGTTAATCTTATAGTTGCATAGTAAATCAGTTATATTTTTAGGTCAGGTTGGACTGTATAATACAAATTACAGAAATATTGGACCACAATGACTAAAAAATTTGGTTTGCATCAATTTATAGTGCCAGCATGTCCTCTTTTTATTCAAAATATCTAATCGTGAACAAATATCAGTAGTTTTTATACCTCAGACTGACTTGTATAACAAAATTATTTGTCTGCATCAACCAAAACTGACCTAATTTGCTCTTTTTTATGTTAATCTTATAATCGCATAGTAAATCAGTTATATTTTTATGTAAGGATGGATTGTATAAAACAAATGATAGCAATATTGGACCACAATGACTACAAAATTTTGTTCGCATCAATTGAGAGTGCCAAAATGTCCTGTTTTTATTCAAAATATTGAATCGTTAACAAATATCAGTAGTTTTCATACCTGAGACTGACTCGTATAACAAAATTACTTGTCCGCATCAAGCAAAACTGACCTAATTTGCTCTTTTTTATGTAAATCTTATAGTTGCAAAGTAAATCAGTTATGTTTTTATGTAAGGATGGATTGTATAAAACAAATGACAGCAATATTGGACCACAATGACTACAAAATTTTGTTCGCATCAATTGAGAGTGCCAAAATGTCCTGTTTTTATTCAAAATACTGAATCGTAAACAAATATCAGTAGTTTTCATACCTGAGACTGACTCGTATAACACAGTTTTTTAAAGAGGGACTGTATAATACAAATGACAGCAATATTGTAAAACAGTGACTAAAAAATTTGGTTCGCATCAATTTATAGTGCCAGCATGTCCTATTTTTATTCAAAATATTGAATTGTAAACAAATATCAGTAGTTTTCATACCTCAGACTGACTCGTATAACAAAATTATTTGTCTGCATCTACCAAAACTGACCATATTTGCAATTTATCAAGTCAATCAATATAGCTGCACAGTAATTCAGTTACATTTTTAGGTCAGGAGGGACTGTATAATACAAATTACAGAAATATTGGACCACAATGACTAAAAAATTTGGTTCGCATCAATTGAGAGTGCCAAAATGTCCTTTTTTTATTCAAAATATTGAATCGTAAACAAATATCAGTATTTTTTATACCTCAGACTGACTCGTATAACAAAATTACTTGTCTGCATCAACCAAAACTGACCTAATTTGCTCTTTTTTATGTAAATCTTATAGTTGCATAGTAAATCAGTTATATTTTTATGTAAGGATGGATTGTACAAAACAAATGATAGCAATATTGGACCACAATGACTAAAAAATTTGGTTCGCATCAATTTATAGTGCCAGCATGTCCTATTTTTATTCAAAATATTGAATTGTAAACAAATATCAGTAGTTTTCATACCTCAGACTGACTCGTATAACAAAATTATTTGTCTGCATCTACCAAAACTGACCATATTTGCACTTTATCAAGTCAATCTATATAGCTGCACAGTAATTCAGTTACATTTTTAGGTCAGGAGGGACTGTATAATACAAATGACAGCAATATTGTAAAACAGTGACTAAAAAATTTGGTTCGCATCAATTTATAGTGCCAGCATGTCCTATTTTTATTCAAAATATTGAATTGTAAACAAATATCAGTAGTTTTCATACCTCAGACTGACTTGTATAACAAAATTATTTGTCTGCATCTACCAAAACTGACCATATTTGCAATTTATTAAGTCAATCTATATAGCTGCACAGTAATTCAGTTACATTTTTAGGTCAGGAGGGACTGTATAATACAAATTACAGAAATATTGGACCACAATGACTAAAAAATTTGGTTCGCATCAATTGAGAGTGCCAAAATGTCCTGTTTTTATTCAAAATATTGAATCGTAAACAAATATCAGTAGTTTTCATACCTCAGACTGACTCGTATAACAAAATTACTTGTCCGCATTAACCAAAACTGACCTAATTTGCTCTTTTTTATGTAAATCTTATAGTTGCATAGTAAATCATTTATGTTTTTATGTAAGGATGGATTGTACAAAAAAAATGATAGCAATATTGGACCACAATGACTACAAAATTTTGTTTGCATCAATTGAGAAAGCCAAAATGTCCTGTTTTTATTCAAAATATTGAATCGTAAACAAATATCAGTACTTATCATACCTCAGACTGACTCGTATAACAAAATTACTTGTCCGCATCAACCAAAACTGACCTAATTTGCTCTTTTTTTTGTTAATCTTATAGTTGCATAGTAAATCAGTTATATTTTTAGGTCAGGTTGGACTGTATAATACAAATTACAGAAATATTGGACCACAATGACTAAAAAATTTGGTTTGCATCAATTTATAGTGCCAGCATGTCCTCTTTTTATTCAAAATATCTAATCGTGAACAAATATCAGTAGTTTTTATACCTCAGACTGACTTGTATAACAAAATTATTTGTCTGCATCAACCAAAACTGACCTAATTTGCTCTTTTTTATGTAAATCTTATAGTTGCATAGTAAATCATTTATGTTTTTATGTAAGGATGGATTGTACAAAACAAATGATAGCAATATTGGACCACAATGACTACAAAATTTTGTTTGCATCAATTGAGAGTGCCAAAATGTCCTGTTTTTATACAAAATATTGAATCGTAAACAAATATCAGTAGTTTTCATACCTCGGACTGACTCGTATAACAAAATTACTTGTCCGCATCAACCAAAACTGACCTAATTTGCTCTTTTTTATGTAAATCTTATAGTTGCATAGTAAATCTTATAGTTGCATAGTAAATCAGTTATATTTTTATGTAAAGATGGATTGTATAAAACAGATGATAGCAATATTGGACCACAATGACTACAAAATTTTGTTCGCATCAATTGAGAGTGCCAAAATGTCCTGTTTTTATTCAAAATACTGAATTGTAAACAAGTATCAGTAGTTTTCATACCTCAGACTGGCTCGTATAACAAAATTACTTGTCCGAATCAACCAAAACTGACCTAATTTGCTCTTTTTTATGTAAATCTTATAGTTGCATAGTAAATCTTATAGTTGCATAGTAAATCAGTTATATTTTTATGTAAAGATGGATTGTATAAAACAGATGATAGCAATATTGGACCACAATGACTACAAAATTTTGTTCGCATCAATTGAGAGTGCCAAAATGTCCTGTTTTTATTCAAAATACTGAATTGTAAACAAGTATCAGTAGTTTTCATACCTCAGACTGGCTCGTATAACAAAATTACTTGTCCGAATCAACCAAAACTGACCTAATTTGCTCTTTTTTATGTAAATCTTATAGTTGCATAGTAAATCAGTTATATTTTTATGTAAAGAGGGACTGTATAATACAAATGACAGCAATATTGGAAAACAATGACTAAAAAATTTGGTTCGCATCAATTTATAGTGCCAGCATCTCCTATTTTTATTCAAAATATTGAATCGTAAGGAAATATCAGTAGTTTTCATACTTCAGACTGATTCGTATAAGAAAATAATTGGTCCGCATCAACCAAAACTGACTATATTTGCACTATAGCATGCTAATCTATATAGCTGCATAGTAAACCAGTTATATTTTTAGGTCAGGAGGAACTGTATAAAACGGATGACAGTAAAATTAGAAAACAATGACTACACAATTTTGTTCGCATCAAGTTATAGTGCCAGCATGTCCTCTTTTTATTCAAAATATTGAATCGTAAACAAATTTTAGTGTTTTCTTACCTTAGACTGACTCATATAACAAAATTATTTGTCCGCATCAACATGATCAACCAAAACTGACCATATTTGCCCGTTATTATGGAAATCTTGATAGTTGCATAATGAACTGTCACTTAAGTCAGTAGTTCGGGATGGTTTGTATTTAAAACAAAACTTAATATTTAACGGCATCATCCAACACTGACATGACTGATTAAAGTAATTTATAATGAAAAGTACGAGTTGACATGTATCCAAATTATGAGGAGGTCTATTCTTGGAAAAGTGTACTGTTAATATATTATGGCGGTTGATTGATTTCGTTTGTAGCCTAACGTCGAGGGGCAAATATTTTTTTTCATGTTCAGAACGAGTATATTTTTTCGGACGTCCCAGATATCATTTATAGTCGTTATGGATAAGTCTGTCTAAATTGACGAGATGGTACAAATGTACATACTTATACAACACCTGATCAATATCCCAATATATACACTGTACAATTTTCGATCGAACATTTGGCAAAATAGAATCTTGAATCATGTAAATCCAAGGCAAACAAGGTGAATTACGATTAAAAATCCTTGTATTAAATGCATAGAGTTATATTTAGGAAGAGACTGTTAAAAATGGGGAACGAAGCAACGTAAACCATGATGTTTATATCCCATCATATACAAATATTTTTCTGATGTGTTGGATAACCTTTCTATTTGCCTCGATATTTGTACATGTAACTTTTGAAAAGAAAATATAGAAAATCCGCTACTCGGGAAAATTATTGGAACTGATTTTTTGTAATTAATAAAAGTTAATATTTCGAATTAAGTGTTTTTGAATTATTCTGGTTTGAAACACTTGTACATAAAATATTAAGATACAAGTCGTTTTAATTAAAAATAAATGTACAAATGAACACGAAGTTTATTTCTTAATTTACACAATCAGTTAACGCGAAAAGTAAACGCGCGTTTACTTTCAAGTGCACGTAGAAATACACTTGTGAAATCTGTAGTAAACGCCCGTTTACTTTTAAGTGCACGTAAAAATAAACTTGTGAAATCTGAAGTAAACGCCCGTTTACTACTGACTAAACGGACACATAGTAAACGCCCGTTTACTCGGGTAGACATTAGAAATTTCCATTTTGACCGCGTTAACGTAATTATAGTAAACGCGCGTTTACTAGTAAACGCGAAAATTGAAGTTAACTAACGAAATATGTGCACGCGGCGTTAACTTGCGTTTACTTTATGTAATGCTTGGTCTGCACCCAACTGTATACCATGCACATAGTATGTTTGTTTAGTCCAGCTGTTTCCATGGCTTTTATAAAATCACCACACAATTTGTTGTTATCGCTGCATGTTCGTAAACTGGCAAACTTGACCATTGATGAATTTCTTGAAAAATCTTGCCCTATCTCATCTAATTTTGCATTTGATATACCAAGATAAATCGCAAGCTGACGTATTTCTTCAACAGTTAGATTGCTTGACAATCGTAATAATTCTGCATCTTTAAGGCAAATGCTATATATGGTAGGTGAAATACCTATACAAAAAAGTAAAAATAAATTATTGATGATTATATATTGTAGGAAATCGAGTGATATTATATAAAACATTTTTTTGTATGTGTTGACATTTGTTGGAATATCTTCCATTCCAGAATAATGATAACCCTCATTTAGAATGAAAAATGTATTTAAAATAAAGTTACACAATGTTTTCATATACAATAATTGAACAAAACTTTTTTTTTAATAAGAGGGGTGTATAGGTTGCCTTTCTGTAAATATCAACAATGCAATTTCCCATAGGAACTCTTTCACGGCTAAGACTGTACCACTTTTACTAAGAAGTCTTGAAAACAAATATATCCTAGAATGGAAAGTTCATATGCACTACTATTTTTTTCAAAGGTCAAAATATAGGGCTGTGAGGCATATTTTCAACGTTTATATGCCCCGAACTTCTACGTGTTTAAACTTACATTAAAATTCTATGTTACCCCTTCCTTGATTTCAGAATTTCCACAGATTTTAACTTGATCACTATGAATATGTATATTTACTGGTAACGTTCCCAAGTTATGTCTAGATTTCATATCTGGAAACCAGTACATAAACAAAATTAATTGTCTATGAATATCATATATCTCCCCAAAAGAGGCGTGGTTTGAGAAACAACTGTATTTACAAAGTGCAACCTATAGGTTTTTTTCCTTTCTTTTTTTTCTTTTTTTTCTTTTTGGAAAGGGGGGGGGGGTGGTGGGTGGGGGGTCCTGAAATATTCCAACAAAGAACAACTGAAATACTATAGCGCATTTTGTTTTAATGGATAATTTCATTTGATCTATTTCCTGTGTACAGATAATATGTTTCCACATGCTAAACATCACACAGTCAATTATATACTAGGTATATAGTGGTTCAATATGCGATAGTTTTTAATAGGGGCATAACAAGTGATTTGTTTTAGGAATTAAACGAAATTTAAACTCAGGTAATGTGAGCATAAAATCCCCTCTTAGACTATTAGAAATATATTTTGTACAAGTAACAAAATCACAAAAAAAAAAGTTAAGTCTAATTCATGTCCTAATAGAACATCCACTGTATTTTGATTTGTCATTTTTATGGACTTCCCTTTTTTTTTTGTACACCTAGGAGTTCGGTATTTTTGTTAAACTGGTTTGTAAAAATGGTAGATATCTTGATAAAAGTAATTAAAATAATGAAATGTACCTTCGCACGTGTCATTGCATTGCTGGACACTCTAAAAAATAAAATACACATGCATTTGTTTAATTACCAGATACGGAAATGATCATCATCAATCAGAATCTCTAATTTGATAAAGTATGTAATTTCTAAAAGCATGCTATGTAGCTTACCACTTATGTGACAGTTTATCTTTATAACACTTTAGTTAATCAATCTGGAAGTGAAGCCAGCTACAAATGACTTGATATCATAATTATAATCATGTGTGACACACTGTTTGTAATAACATGTTGACGACTAACGTTTGCATATACAATTTTCAAGATGTCTTATATGTATACATTTCTCTGCTTCTAGTAGTTAGGACATATAGTCACGTGCAGAAGTAAATAATGTATTTAAGTTTGTATATGCTAGAAGATCTTTACTGACCTGAAATAAAACACTTTTAAAACGCGACGGCTAGTATTGACTTAGCGGGTATGAATATTATCTATTTAAAATAGTCGTTGCATTTGTCGTTGTTAAAATTAGTTCACCTACAATGCTTTTTAGGCTAAAGAAAACTAAAACATGAACTCGTTCCTTCTATAAAATCCATTTTCGATTTTTTTCTGTTCATGCTTAGGCATTACAGAATACAATCCTTTGATAGTGTATTACTAACTCTTACACAATACATCATAACAACATATACTATTATACCATACACTTTTACACCGTACACAAATTCCCATACATCATTCACAATTCCCCTTGCATCATACCTTTTTAAAACATACACGATATGCCTCATTGAAATTTACCTACAATGCAACATTGTTGCCGGGATTTAAAATTTTAATATATCTTTTTAAAAACAGGTAAAGCGAACTAATCTAAGAGCCGTCTGAAACTTGCAATCAGCTGAGAGTTTTATTTTGCTCCGTGTTGAAGGCCCCACTAAGCCTTTGAGATGAAAAAACAGCAGTAAAAGCGCTGTGCCTTTGTTTTTGTGTGTTTTTGCTGTGCATGTACTAATTTTGTGTCATGTATGGATACCCAATATTCTTTGTTCTTCTATCAAAATTAAAAAAAAACATACTGTTATAAATATCAAAACATTTATACAATATTCTGATAGAAACTTATAACGCATAACAAGTAAATAAAGCACTGTCAGTACCATTATGTTACATTTACTGAATAACTAGTACATTATAAAGGCCAACATTTTACTGTTTTCGTGTAAGGCACATGGGGAGTTTCAAAATCTACTAATCGTTGCATTAATTTGAACATAAAGTGACCGACAAATATTTTAAAACAAATTAAAAGGGATGATTTTGTTATTATCTGATTGCAATATGTGACATCAACAGTTTTAGTATCGCAGAAGGAGTTATCGTCCATAATTTTATTTTATTTATATGCCGCTTAAACAAAAGAAGACCATACTTAAAGCCAAACTTCGAAAAGTACATGCAATCAGAGTTATGCATTTGAAAAGAAAAATATATGTATTTCAATGGCAGTACTGTTGTACCCTCGTGAACCAACAGTACCAGCAGAGGAGCTATCAACCTCCAAAAGAACTTGACCGGCATGCAAAATAGACAGTTGTAATGCCCTACAGTTTCTGGTTTCTTAGAACTTATACATTTGTGTAAAAAGCTGGCTTTACATAAATGTACAAGTACAAAAGGGCTAAATAAATAATTCATTTAAAACAATGGACTTATATTGCAAATAAGTAGTTTCTAAAACAACAATAAGTTTGGAGAAAAATGTTATTGCGCATATCTATATAGGACAAAGGTTCAATGATATACTAGATAATAACAAGTATATTGTATAGCAACCGTTTTATGATGGGCGTTTATTTGCTCACATTACCATAAACAAGAAGAACAACTTACTATGTCTGTAAACCAAATATTGAGTTCTGACTGTGGGTTCTATATCCATGTGCCTTACATACCAATGGAAACTCGAGCTTTTCTATGTCATCGACATTTATCAAGCAACTTGGTGAGCGACAACCCGATTGCACCTTCATCGTAAAAGGAACGTATCTACTTGGACTTTCTGCATAGGAATCAGAGTACACCTCCGAAATTCTATGTAAATTTTCTTCCAAACATTGACGTACACTTGATGCCAAATCTCTAATTATAAGTTCCTTGCGTTGTTTGTGAATCATGCAAATTACTATCGAAGTTTGATCTGCTTGAACAACTAAATCATGATTTCTGTCGAGGCTTACAACAACAAAAGCAGAAAAAAGTAGTTCAACCTTGTTGTAGATTTTGACATTCCAAATACTTAGGACACACGAGATGAGCCTGCTTGTAATTGCAGGCGGCACGTATGATTTGTTGAAGACAAAAGCGAAACTTATACACCTTTCTGATGTAATACAATTTTTGAAGAACGAGGTTGTGTTTGTTTCATAAATAAGACACGGAACAAAATAGCATTCAATTTCTATCTTTCGGCCAGTTGTTTTGTCATACCGCCTTATTTCAGCAAGTATATCATAGTAAACCAATAATTCACGAAAAAAGTCAGTATAACTTCCAAGCCGGTTGAATTTTTCGGAATCTAACATTTTCGTCAAATCAGACTTTCGAAGTCGGCCGTGTTTCATATCTGATGTACTTGGAAATGCTGTAACAATAGCTTTCAAAAGATCTATTATACAGGTTGGATTTATAACAATAAAGTTTCTTAGATAATGCGTATCTATGTATGTTAATTTGCCACAACTATTTTGAATATGAAGAAATCTATCTAATTCCTCCTCTGACAATGGCGTAAATTCGTTTTCCCTGTTTATTATGTCTAAATCTTCTCGGCTTAGAATGTATTCTCCTTCATCAACTAATATAGCTAGCATCATTTCAAGAAAAAGAAACTGTTTTGGTACTTTTTGTCTCCATTGTGGATTGTCTACCAAAAGTTCAGATAAAAATGTCCGAAGCTCGTTGATACCAGTGTCCCTTTCGTCTAAGGAGTTTACAAAAAATAGCCTTTTTAAAATAAGATGAGACTTTATCTGTTTGTCAGTGAAGCATTTAATCAAGGCATGAGTGATAATTTCCTGTTTTCTTTGTACTTCGTCCTACAAAGATAAGTTTTCTAATTATCTGTATTGAATTAAAAATGTGATCCCTACTTATAAATTACCTGATGTGTAACTTATAACACTATGTTGGTAGAATAGCTGTATACCACCATCTTGAAATGTAAAATAGCAGTACACAATTGGTCGAATTCTTTGCCTAAATCTGCAAAATTTTGAAACAAATTGGTAATCAATGGGTAACATTCTTTATTTACAAAAAGAAAAGAAGTGATTTGTTGCATGATTTAGATTGTTTTAACAAATACCAAATATTTAATTTTTGTTCGAATCTATATTTCAGCTTAACCATGTAATGAAAGATAACTCTTAAAATAAAGTTTTTATATTTTGACAAAGGGTAAGATAATTCTATCTGAGAAGATTTCAAGTGATGATCTACCTTAATTAAAAGAAAAATTACAGATTCCTTTAATAAATACTTACAGATTTGATTAAATCTTTGTGTGTAGCGACAAATACAATTTTCGGATACTCATCTGTATCTGTAGAGCTGTATGCAAGAATAGATGAAACCCAGTGTTTGATATTGTCTAAAAAATATATGAGAAGGTTTCAGTTTCATTTGCGACATGCATGTTCATAGAGTTAAGAACACACGAAACAAATAGACAAATCAGTTTCTGGTGTAAGTATTTAACCTAAAGAGTTTCATTTGTATAATAAAAATAAGGGAAAAACTAATTTCCAAATAATATATGGAAAAATATCGAGACGCAATGGACTACAGGTCTTGTACCGATATATGTTACCAAGTACTCATTTTGAAAGTATATATTTAAACCTTACATCCGGATAAAAAAGAGAGCAATTCAATAACTGCTTTCGAGAATTTTGTGTAAATGAGTTATATTGACTTCAGCAAAAATTGACAAAATGTGTTACCATTTGTAATTTTTTTTACTAGCACACACTGAAATCAGTCCTAGAATTAAGTTATGTTCAGTGAGACGTAAACTCACCAAGAACTCTAGATTCTTTTCCATCTCCCGTCAAACTATCACTTAAACTCTTGCTGCCATTGAATACAACTATGTATGTCCCATGCGATGTAATGAATGCCTGGTGCGTTGTATAGTACACAAATTGTCCTGCAAAATCTAGAATTGGAATGGGAATCACTTCTCGGCTAAATGGCGGAGCATCTGATTTAAAGGTTCTAAGTTTTTCGTTAATTTTTTTAAGAAAGTCACTTTGAAAAAAGTTTATAGAAGCTGGATCTATACCAGGAAATGCAGGCATCAAAAACGGAAACGCTGGATTCAATACCTGATTTGCAGGAAACAAACATTGTTCTTCTTGAAGAAAATCCTGATTTGACTTTTTCGATTGCTTGCTTGCTTTATATTTGTGAACAGTTTCAAGACAAGCTAAAACCTTCTGATATACAGCCTTTGGAAAACTGTGAAGATCTGCAAAATAAATATGATTAATTCTAAAGGAGTAAAGTAACATACTGTTAACCAACAATTAACATAATTAGTTATTAGAAATAGAATAACTGATTTAAAAAGGCGATTTCGCGAACATAACTGTGTAAAATGATGTCACAATGGTTAGTGCAAAACGCAGCATACAATGACAAAAATATAGAAAACGTACATGTACCCAAATAAGAGTTGTTTTACTGTATTTTGACCACCGGATCGACTTCAAATTCAAATATTTTGCCATGCTCATGCACATAAAGAATCAGATGAATTATATTTTGATATAAGGTTGGTCTGATGGTTTACTTTTTCAATGCCATGCATAGAAATCGCATGTTCAAAATTTACTTTAGGATGCAATTCTTCTGTACATGGATAATTTATACATTATGGTGCCTATACAAAAAATTAAAACAACTCTCAAATTCTATGATTTAACTTTTGAATCATTAGCATCGGATCTCAAAACACACTTTCGTTCATTTATCTAGTTTTCCTCAGACAATATTGATCTTACAAACATAAAATCACAAACAGGGAACTATTAATTTTTTTGTCCGGGAAGCAACACTTAGTTGCAAAACATCGATGCTAGTATTGAATTCCGATTGATTATAGAAGGCAGCATGTTATCAGTTATAATACCTCCTCAAAACTTCCAGGAATATCGTTTGTTGAAAGCAAGAACGTGGGAGGCGTGTATATTTTGAAGATTAGCTAGGTCAGTGGGCGTGTTTTATTTTAAATACACAGTTTAATAGCAGTAGTTCTTTGATTTTTAGTTTTTATTCGTGGCATTTGTTTAGTCATACATCAGTGACAGTAGGTACATTCTTAATTTTGGTAGTCCACCAGACACGAAATATTGCTTTAATGACTTTAGAAATCCGTCCACATTCTCCATATTAAGTTATTTAAAATTTGTCACACACTGTGCAAGTGATCTAATACGATATATACGGTGTCAGTAAACTCCATATTTGGCTCGAGCTTCGCTTACTGTTGGTCCATATGGAATTTACTGACCCTATATATATCGTATTAGGTCACTTACACAGTCTTTACTTAATTTCTCATGTTTCTAATAATCTCGATTTTAAATTGGATTTTCTAACTTCCCTTGTATCATACATGTAGGTTAATCATTACAGGGTCTCGGTTCTCTAGTTTAAGACAAGAACATACAAAAGAAAAAAAGTTAATTGATTGAATATGTAACACGATATAGATATACGTAGCTTTAAGAGAGATGAAGTCTATGGTGCAGATTTAGATAATATTTTAGAGTGTGTGAATAGTATTATGTTTCCTAATTTCACCGAGCAGTCATTGGATAAGTAAAATTATGTAAGTCCGTTTGAAATTTGCACCAAGGTACACACATGGAGTTTCGTGTGTCAGAAACAAATCGGTGGTGGGGGAATCATTAGTTTACGATGGATCTACATTCCGTGTCGACTCAGAACACTTAATTCAGCGGATATTTTAAGTAGATGCAGCGTAAATAATTGTATTCTTAGGCAGGATCAAAATTCAATAGCCATTATAAACGACCATCATAATGATTCCGATTCTAGAAAAACTTGAAAGGCAGAATAATCTTGCGGTTGTAAAGGGAAAAGCGACATTTAATTAACATTAATATCGTTGTGAATTGGTGAATATAGAAGAAGAAACGCTAATTGGAATAAATAAATAACAGTTAAATAACTCAATATAATAGTAAAAAAACTAAATAAATAATAGTTAAATAACTGAGTTTCGATGTAAAATGAATGTGCGCAAAGATAACCGTAAGATACACGCAAACGTATTGATTTTTCAAATGAAATGGTGATGCCCCGAATGTAATGATAATGCGCCCGAATGTAATGGTGATGCGCGCAAATGTAATGCATCGTTCAAAATAAATCCTATGCATTCCGATGCTGTGTTTGATTTTTTTTTTATAACAGGGCATTCATCTTTTTCGTTTTTAAAATGTTAAGAATTGTCGTATGTATCGTAATAGCAACGGTAGACTATGAGAGACACAATTTTTGTGCCTGATCCTTTTGTAGTGGTGAAACCCTAAGGAACTAGGAGTACACCTGCAGCGGTAAGGTACAACAAGCATAGTTTCAAAGCACGTGACCCTTGTTGGTTGGTATGTTTCATCAGCTACGCTTTACACAAACAGTTTATAAAAGCTGCTCTAAGTCAGAAGCATGTTCAGTGGCTGTCGTTTGTTGATGAGGTTCATAAGTGTTTCTCATTTTTCGTTTTTTATGTAGATTATACCGTTGGTTTTCCTATTTGATTTTTTTTACACTAGTCATTTTGGGGCCCTTTATAGCTTGCAGTTCAGTGTGAGCCAAGGCTCCGTGTTGAAGGC